GAAGATCAAGAAACAGGAGCCAAAGTGAGAGCAATCTCAGAGGTTCAAATCCAGGTTCAGTGGTAGTGCTCGCCCAGTATGCACAAGATCTTGAGTTCAACCCCTAGTGTCTCCCCAAAAGTGTTTTCAAAGCCAGCCTGGGCTATATAATGATACCCCATGTCTAAATAAACATATTGTCTCAAATCAACAGGGCACTAAGTCTGTGAGCTAAGGAGGAAAGGCAGATGCCTTCAATCTGATTCCAGAAGTCTATCCTATAAAGTGGTTGACATTTCTATTTCCCAAAACAAAACGAGCAGGAGGAAGAAGGACTGCCTCAAAAAGAAGTTCAGCATGAGCTTGCTGGGAGTGTTTGTTTAAGGTTTTAATGTTAGCATTCAAGAGACAAGACCAGCCTGGTCTACATAGTGACCAGGTACTACATAGGTCAGCCAGGGTTACATAGTGAGATCCTGTTTCAAAAGATGGATGGATGGGTGGATGGATGGATGGATGGATGGATGGATGGATGGATGGATGGATGGATGGATGGATGGATGGACGGATGAACGGACGGACAGCAGGAGCTCTAGATGTCCATGTGGAGACTAGTGTGGTCAGTTCATGGAGCTTTGGGAGGTGGTGGTAGAGGCATGGAAAAGGGAGAGGATGTTATGAGTAAAGCAGCTCAGGTCCCCAAGAATCAAAACCAAAAATCTCACCTTCAATTTTTTTAACTTCTTTTTTAATGATTTCCCTAAATCTTGACAACATCTTGGAAGCTGATAATACTTCCCCTTCTAAAAAATGACTCAGAGGATTTCCTCCTGGAATTCTTTTGAACTTCACAAGATAAAAAGCACCAGTGTCATGATATTCTTGTAGATCAATTCTGGGGACTTCCAGTTTAAACATAACATCAAATTCATTAGGAGCAGAAATCTAAGGAATAGTAAAATAACATTGAAATATTTTCTTGTAAAATCTTTCCAAACAATTGCATTTTTTCTGTGAAAGTTTCACTTGAGATTCCACACTGAAAAGCAAGATCCCAGCTGGGCTTGGTGGCAAACACCTTTGATCCTAGCACTTGGGAAATGGAGACAGGCAGATCTCTGTGAGTTCTAAGACAGCCAGAACTACAGAGAAAGAGACCCTGTCTCAGAAAAGAAAAGGGGGGGGGGAGGAAAGGAAAGAAGGGAAAAGAGGAGGGAAAGGAAGGAACAAAGGAAGGAATGAAGGAGGGAAAGAAGGAAGGTAGGTCTAACTAAGCAAGTGAAAGACCTGTATATCAAGAACTTTAAATCTCTGAAGAAATTGAAGAAGATATCAGAAAATGGAAAGATCTCCCATGCTCATGGATAGGAAGGATTAACATAGTAGAAATGGCAATCTTACCAAAAGCAATCTACAGATTCAATGCAATCGCCATCAAAATACAATTCTTCACAGACTTGGAAAGAACAATACTCAACTTCATATGGAAAAACAAAAAATCCAGGATAGCTAAAAGAATCCTGTACAATAAAGCAACCTCGGGAGGCATCACCATCCCTGACCTCAAGCTCTACTATAGAGCTATAGTAATAAAAAAACAGCTTGGTACTGGCATAAAAAACAACACATGGACCAACGTAATCGAATTGAAGACCCTGACATTAATCCACACACATCTGAACACTGATTTTTGACAATGGAAAAAAGCAAGTATCTTCAACAAATGGTGCCGGCATAACTGGATATCAACATGTAAAAGATTGCAAATAGATCCATATCTGTCACCATGCACAAAACTCAAGTCCAAGTGGATCAAAGGCCTCAACATAAATCCAGTTACACTGAACTTGATAGAAGAAAAAGTAGGAAGAACTCTTGAATGCACTGGCACAGGAGATCACTTCCTAAATATAACACCAGTAGCCCAGACACTGAGAACAACAATTAATAAATGGAACCTCTTGAAACTGAGAAGCTTTTGTAGGGCAAAAGACACGGTCAATAAGACAAAAAGACAGCCTACAGAATGGGAAAAGATCTTCACCAACCCCACATTTGACAGAGAACTGATCTCCAAAGTATATAAAGAACTCAAGAAACTAGACATCAAATACCAAACAATACAATTAAAAAATGGGCAACAGAACTAAACAGAGAATTCTCAAAAGAAGAATCTCAAATGGCCGAAAGACATTTAAGGAATTGTTCAACATCCTTAGTCATCAGGGAAATGCAAATTGAAACGACACTGAGATACCATCTTATACCTTTCAGAATGGCTAAGATCAAAAACATTGAAGACAGCTTATGTTGGAGAGGATGCGGAGCAAGGGGAACACTCCTCCACTGCTGGTGAGAGTGCAAACTTGTACAGCCACTTTGGAAATCAGTATGGTGCTTTCTCAGGAAATTGGGAATCAATCTATCTCAAGACACAGAAATACCACTCTTGAGAATATACCCAAGGAACACTCAATCATACCACAAGGATATTTGCTCAACTATGTTCATAGCAGCATTATTCATAATAGCCAGAACAGAACCTGGAAACAACCTAGATGCCCGTCAACCAAAGAATGGATAAAGAAAATGTGGCACATATATACAATGAAGTACTACTCAGCAGTAAAAAAAAAAAAAAAACAAAAAAAACAACCGACATCATGAAATTTGCAGTCAAATGGATGGAACTAGAAAATATCATCCTGAGTGAGGTAACCCAGACTCAGAAGGATAAACATGGTACGTACTCATAAGTGGATACTAGATGTAAAGAAAGGATAACCAGACTACAATCCACAGCTCCATAGAAGCTAGCTAACAAGGAGAACTCTAAGAGGGATACATGGATCTCCCTGGGAAGGGGAAATAGATGAGATCTCCATGAGTAAAGGGGGGTGGTGAGAGGGGGGCAATGGAGGGTAGGGGATGGGGGATGAGAACATAAGGGAACAAGATGGTCAAGCTCGAACAGGGATGGAGTGGGAAAGCAATGAAAGATACCATGACAGAGGGAGACATCATGGGGAGAGAGAGAAACCGAGAGCTAGGGAAGTTCCAGGAATCCACAAGGATTACCCCACCTTAGACTACTAGCAATAGTGGAGAGAGGGTGCCTGAACTAGCCTATCCAGGTAATTAGATTGGCAAATACCCTAACTGTCATCATAGAGCCTCCATCCAGTAACTGATGGAAGCAGATGCAGAGATCCACAGCCAAGCACCAGGCTGAGCTCCACGAGTCCAGTCAAAGAGAGTGAAGAGGGATTCTATGAGCAAGGGGCATCAAGATCATGATGGGGAAATGTACAGAGATGACCAAACCAAACTAGTGGGAACCAAACTAGTGGGAACCCATGAACTGTGGACCAACAGCTGTGGAGCCTCCATGGTACTGGACTTGGCCCTCTGCATAGGAAAGACAGTTGTGTGGTTTGATCTGCTTAAGGAGCCCCTGACAGTGGCATCAGGATCCATCCCTGGTGCATGAGCAGGCTTTTTGGAGCCCACTGCCTATGGTGGGACATCTTACACAGCCTTGGTGCAGGGGGAGGGGCTTGGACCTGCCTCAACTGAGTGTATCAGGCTCTGCTGACTCCCCATGGGAGGCCTTGCCTTGGAGGAGGTGGGAATGGGGGGTGGGCTGAGGCAGGAAGGCTGGGAGGGGGAGGGGGAGGGGGAGGGGATCTGTGATTGGTATGTAAAATGAATAGAAATTTAATAAGGAAAAGAAAAGAAGGAAGGAGGGTAAGATCCCCAATATGTGTCCCCTCTCAGAACAGTATCACCACACCTGAGAATGGGTAGTCCCTGTTACTATACACATTATTGGTTTCAGCTTGTAGATTCTCTCAATTTTTCTTTTTTAAGCACAAGCAAGCACGTACGTTTGTTTGTTTTAAAACAGGATCTTACTCTGTAGCGCAGGCTAGGCTGGAACTCAAGTTTGGTTCCCAGCACCCATATCAGGCAGCTCACAGCCACTGTAATGACATCGTGGTCTTCTGGCCTGCAAGGGTTCCTGTACAAAGGGTACATATAAACTCACACATACACATAAATTATATACAAGTAATTTTTTTTTTTAAATAAAAGCCTTTCCACAAAAAGAACTCTAGTCTTGGATTGCTTCTCTGGCAACCTGTTCCAACACAGAAAACAAATCAAACAAACACAAAACCCATAAAATTCACATATTAAAACCCTAGGAATAGCAGTTAATCCCAGCATTCAGAAGGCAGAAACAGGTCATCTCTGTTGAGGCCAGCCTAGTCTACCAGGTGAATTTCACTCAGCCAGGGCTACATGGTGACACTCTATCTCAACAAAGTCACCAAAAACATTTTTAAAATAAATTTTAAAACCTTGTGACATTACCTTTTATATCACAAAATACACACTGTAGCCACCCTCCAGCCACAGTGGTCACAGAAATGTGTATTGAGGTGACACACACCTGTAAACCTAGCCCTTGGAAAACTGAGGTAAGAGAATCACAAGTTTGAGGGGCCAGCCTGGGCTACACAGTAAACTCCTGTCTAAAACCAAAACAAACAATAAAACCCCTTTTCATGTTTCTAACAATAATCATAATAAGTACTTTTTCTATATTAAATACCACAGAGAGAGGGGGAGAGAGCTCAGTTGGGAGATGATTTTGCTTAGCATGCATGAAGCCCTGGGTTCCATCCCAGCATTGAATAGACTAGGACTACATATGATGATGGCATAATTCCAGCACTAGGGAGGTAAAGTCAGGAGGATCATCCTTGGCTACACAATGAGTTAGAGGCCAGCCTGGGATACATGAGACCTTGTTATAAAATAAATAAAGCGGTAAAGTAGAATAAAGTAAATAAAAATACCACACAGCCTTCATTAGTTAGAGTTGTGCTTTTAAAAAAAATAATTTATGCCGGGCAGTGGTAACACTTAATCCCAGCACTTTGGAAGGCAGAGGCAGGTGGATCTCTGTGAGTTCGAGGCCAGCCTGGTCTACAGAGTGAGTTCCAGGATAGCCAGGACTGTTTCACAGAGAAGCCCTGTCTCGAAAAACAACAACAAAATTATCTTATTGATATGGGTGTTTTGCTCCATGTCTGTCTTTGTACCATGTATGTGCGTGGTGCCTCTGCAGACACTGCCACTATCTTCAAGAATTCTGCTGGACCTGCTCTCTAAAGGTCATCAGAGCTAGGCTTGCTGAATGTTGATGTTTGCTCATAGAAGGAGGTGGGAGAAGGTCACAGGACCCCCACCTGAGTATCCAACCACCTCACCCAACTAGCTGTAAACAATTCTGCCCTAGTTGCCAGTGGTCCCAGGGTCTCTGGAATGGGCTAGACTCAATCTAGAGGATATAGTTGGGGACTCCATCCACTCAGCCACAGCCGAGTCCTCATCCACACTGACTGCTTTCAAGTCACATATCCTCTCTACCACAACTCCTCAGGAGCAAGTCCAGAGTTCCTCCAAAGCACAGCGTTAAGAGAAACTAGCTATCAATATTGGTCTGTATGCTAACTGAATGAATGAATAAAAAAAAAAAAAAAAAAAAAAAAAAAAAAAAAAAAGCCAGGCAGTGATGGCATACGCCTTATTCCCAGCACTCAGGAAGATTTCTGTGAAGTCGAGGCCAGCCTGGTCTACAGATCGAGATCCAGGACAGGCTCCAAAATTACACAGAGAAACCATGTCTCGGAAAAAAAAAAAAAAGCAGAGCGTGGGCTGTTCCAGAAGGGAAGTGGGGAGATACCCAAGGGTGTGGGGAACCCCAAAAAGATGAGGCAGGTGGAGTGGGCCAGGAGCCCCTCCAGCAAGCAGGTCTTGGCCACTCACCTTCACACGCTCATAGTAGCTGCCAGTGTTGAGCTTCTGCACGCCTTTGAACTCCGACTCACGGGTCTGCATTCCTTTCAGCAGGCTCTTCACGACTTCATTCACCACCTCGGCTGCCTCCGAGATCTCATCCCGTTTCAACTTCAAATTTCCCAGCACCCTCTTGAGCTTTTTGTCGAGGGTCTCCGGCTCCTTCCTGGAAGCCCGCGGGGCTCTCTGCTGCCCCGTGGAGCGCGCGCCCCTCCTGCCCCGAGGACCCCTTGAGACCTCGGCCGGCTCGGGGACTGTCGGAGGCTGGGGCTCCCGGACGCTCCTTGAGACCTCCGGCACCTCGGGGACTGTCGGAAGCTGGGGCTCCCGTACGCCCCTTGCGACCTCGGGGACTGTCGGAGGCTGGGGCTCCAGGATGCCGGGCTGCTTGGCATCTCCTGCGGCGCCGGTGGCGGAGGGCTGTGGGTCCTTAGTGCGCACGGACGCCCTTCCCGGGCGCGCTCGGGGCGCTTGGGCGCGCGGCTTCTCCGCGGGGTCCCCGTCACACTCCGCACGCCGCGATCGCGCCCCCCTTTGCGGGACGCAGCTTCCCGAGTGGGGCCGGGCAGCCACGGTCCCTTTGGGCTCCGTCGTGGCGCGCTTTGCAGCCGGCTTCTTAGCGCGCGGCGCTGTTGGCCTTGGGCGCTGACCTTCCATATCTGAGGCTCTGCGCTCCGGAAAGGAAGAATCGACTTCGGGGAAAGATGGCGGGAAGGGGAACTCTCCGTAACTGCTGAAAACGAAACTTAACTATCTGGCGGGAACGCAGCCTGTCTGTGCCGCCCAGAGCAGGAGCAGGAACCCGCGTGAGGTCGCACGTCGCCGCCAGGAAGAGGCGGTCCAAGGAGGTGCGAATTTCTCACCCGCTCGTGGGGACCAGCTGAGCCATTGGCTTGGAAACCACCCACCCTTCCTTTATTGCAAAGACACGGAAAACACTGACAACAGCTTTGCGGCCAGATTTACTGACCTACCACAAAGATTTATTTGGGGACCTCGTCGCTCGGACATTTGAAGTTCATAAAAATGTTTTCTATGTAAGCTTTAAATAAGGATTTGGTGTTCTTGTTAATGAGTAGTAGAAACAACACTAAACGTTTACAAGGTAGATGACTGCTTGGAATTAGTATTTCAAATTATCTGGCTTTCTAAAAAGCACACGAAATCTTAAAGAACTTGTTTAAAGTGCCTATGTGAGTTCCATAAGCAGCATAATCCTACTGATTTGGCTGCTGAGATTCCAGGGCACTTCAATGCAGACTTTCAGAACGCGATTTCTAAAGTCAATCTTGTCAACAGTGGTTGAAAGTTGTACCTAGAGAAATTTATTTTACCTTCCCCTGCCTTCGCATGACAAAAACAGAAGGCTGCTCTTTCTGTAGATTTATTTGCACAGCCCAGAACACCACTTCGTTTTCGGCTAACATCAGAATGTGTAACTCCACTCCTTATTACTTAAGCCAGTGTGTCCACTAACACAAAACTCACAAACTGCTGTGGTGTTTAACTTTGAGGAAAGTATGTGTGTGTGTGTGTGTGTGTGTGTGTGTGTGTGTGTGTGTGTGTGTGGTGTGGTGTGCCATAGACTATGGGGAGTAAGGGAGGTTGACACATTGCCTGGATAAAAAGACACTGATCAGTGTGATGCTGTCCCATCGCCCATGCTATTTCCTTTCCCCCCTTCCTGTGAATGCCTGTACATGAGTTCCCAAAGTGGGAATTTGTCATCTGGCTTTTGGGTGGCAAGCAGACATGCCTGGGGACAGAAACACTTCCTTCGCAGAAATATACTTTAGACATGAAACCCCTATATCTAGAATGCCTTGCTGGGCATAGTGGTGCACACCTTTAGTCCCAATATTCAAGAGACAGAGGCAGCTCAGCTGATATCTGATTCTGAGGCCAGCCTGCTGGTCTACAAAGCAAATTCTAGGACAGCCAGGGCTACAGAGCCAGAGTGAGACCCTGTCACAAACAGACAAGAGGCTGACAGGAGCCCATCCTCTAGAGCCTTGGTTAGCTTTTCAAATCAGCCATTCCAAGGTGCAGTTTCAAGGAAAGCATGATGGCTCATCCCAGATCGATCTAAAGTGGAAGGGGAGAACCAGCACATATCACACACACACACACACACACACACACACACACAGAGTTCAGTGATAAGCACATTTATATTGTTGGGCAACCCTCACCACTATACATCTCCACAAGTCTCCATCATGCCAAAGAAACTCAACCATTCAACAACAATTCTTTGCACTGGTCTCCTTGGCAATCACTTCACTTTCTGCCTGTGATTCTGACTACTTACTGTAAGTGCTTTAACTCAGTGGGGTCTCATTGAGCCACACCCCCATCCTTTATTTGTAGAGTTTGTCTCTAGCAATTCACTTATTCGCTCAATAAATATTTGGCTGCCTAAGACATATCAGGCTCTGTTCTTAGCTCCTGGGATTCACTAACAATAATTCTTGTCTTCCTAAAGCTTATACTCTCTCAGGGAAAAATAGGCAAAAAAAAAAAAAGACAATATATCTCATGTGGTAGATGATAATCTCTATTGAAGAAGGAAAGGGGCCAGGTGTGGTGGTGCACACCGTTAATCCCAGCACTCTGGAGGCTGAGGCAAGTGGATCTCTGTTAGTTCAAGGCCTGGTCTACAAAGTGAATTCTAGTACAGCGAGGGCAACACAAAGAAAACCTGTCTCAAAAAAACAAAATAAAGAAATAAAAGAAAAGGAAGGGGACTAGAGAGGTTGCTCAGTGGTTAAGGTGTTGGCTGCTCTTTGAAAGAATCCAAGTTCATTTTCCAGCACCACTTCCCAAGAGTCAGTTCCAGGGGACCAATGCCCTCTTGTGGCCTCCAAGGGCACTAGGTGTATAAATGGTGCACAGACAGACAGACATGCAGACAAAACAATGATAACTTTTTTATGAAAAAGAAAACAGCCAGATGGTGTTGGTGCATGCCTTTAATCCCAGGTGAGGCAGAGGCAGGCGGATCTTTGCTAGTTCAAGACCAGCCTGGTTTATAGAACAAGTACCAGGACAGCCAAGGCTACACAGAGAAACCCTGTCTGGAAAAACAAAACAAAACAAAAATAGTTCAAGAAAGGTAAGAAAAAAGGCATGTGCATCCAGAGAGAATGACATTTGAGCAATGATTTTTGAAAGGGGCATAGTTCACTGCAACAACCATCCTGTAATTGTTTTTCTTCTAATGTGAATTGTTCTAGCTAATCAGCTCTTAGCATCACCTGTGATGGTA